TCATTCTGCAGATATTATTGAGTGCTTTCTTTGTGTGAGATATCTGCCCTCGTGTCATTACTATACTGGATATTTTGCAAACGGAGGAAAGACCATTTCCTAAAGGGAAGCAGGCCATGGGAACAGGTGTGAGGAGAGGAACATCATTTAACAAAATGCTGAGCCAAACACTGAATGTGTTGAAATCAATGTAGGGTAAGTCCATTTCCCATGCCATTAGCCCCATCACCCCTCAGCACTTAGTCTACTACAGGAGAGCCTGTTTGAGCACTAGTTTCTCCCTGAGCCATGCCAGGAGAAACCACAGCTTGGAGGTTAATAAAACTAGTTTTTATCTGACTAGACTAGTCTTGGGAAAGTTACAAAACACTTGTATTTCTTCCTGACCCCCTCATAGGGAGGATCAGAAATTTTATACAAATAAATGAATATTTTATATTTATATTCTTGATTCATCTCACATATACCACATGCATTTGTTTTTTATGGTTGTAAAGCTCTGTAGGCATATTGTAAAGAATTAAGGAAATAGAAATTAAAAATTGCATATGATCTTTCTTCTGTTAACATTAGATCACTACAATTTTTTTCTCAGTCTCCTCTATATAGAATTATTATTTTTTTAAATAGAAAATTATCTATGTCTTGGGCTGGGTTCGCTAGAGAAGAAAAACCAGTGATGCTTATCTACGTATAAATAGAAAAAAATTCTAGGTAGTTTCCAAGTCTTTGAGTCAGATGCCAAGGCTTCTCCTGAGTGACGTAGCTGTGAGGACTGAGGAACGCAAATTGGGCAGAAAGACCAGAGGATGGTGGTTACACAGGCAGATGAAGTCAAGGTCAGCAGGTCAGGCTTGTGGCTGCGGTGACAAATGAACCCAATGTGGGCAGGTCTTTGATGACTCCAGGATTGGCAGACAGTATGGGAGGCCATTGGCTCAGGGCCAAAGTTGATGAGCCAAATGCAGGATACAGACTCAAAAAAAAAATAAAGTAAGCTTTTCCACAGTGTCCTTTTATTGGAAGGAGGCCACACCTCCAATTAAGACTTCCTTTTAATTGTAGAGCTGTGACCTGAGTAAAGGTATTATAGTCTACCCTAATGGTACCCCATTATAGGAGCTTACAACTGACTGGCTTTGATTACATTGTGTTAAGTCAGGTCGTGGGAGTCTAGTAGGCATTAACTGCCAAACCACTGAGTAGCATCCTCATCTATCCAAGTTGTCACAGACCTTACTCTCACCATCTCACTGCTTGAAGTTTGGGGATCATTCTGACCCGGGACCATGTTGCTAATTCAGATATAGCAGCCTTTGGGGGAGCGTTTGACTGTGGATAAAGTCCACTGGGGATCTTGTGCCCTCTGCATTCCTGAAGGAGCCATTTTTGCTTATTTGCCCATCATGCTGGGATCAGATCATGGCATCTTAGAATTGGTGAGGACCGCAGAGGTCAGGGTGCATGGAGTGGCCTGTCTAGATGTCGCATACTGCAGATGACAAGGAGGAGTTTGACATTGTGGTCAGCAGATGTGTACCTTGGGTACTTTCAGCACGTACCTCGTTGTCAGTACCATGTCCCAGAAAGACTGGATCTTGTGAGGCACACGCTCTTGCTGTTAACTGGAAAGAAATCGCTGTTGACAGCCAGGAGAGAAGCCTGCTCTGAATATAATATGTGAGTGAAGTCTGCTAGCCTCATGATGTGGGTCTTTATAAACTACTTTATAGCTTGCTTTCATTCTATAATGATCTGGGCTGCTGTCAGTATCTTTACTTTCTTTCACAAAAGGAACTCAGTCTATTTTAATATACTTATCTCATAACTGCATATGTGCTGACTCTATAGAATGTAAAAAATGTAGCACAAGCTTTAAAGGCAGACTGTTTATGGATTTCTGGTGGCTCACCAAAATGAAACAAACTTAAATTTGAAATTGGATTGGAAAAGTTTTGAACTGAGGAAAAGGACTTTTCTCTGAAGCTGGACATGCTAATTAATAAAAAAGGTTTATTTTTAAAACTTTGAAAGTGCTTTCAAGGGAGGAAATTAAGACCTTGATGTTGATCTATTCTCTGTATCTGTGAGCAATCGCAGGAAGATACTGACCAACTCGTGGAAACATGCCAAACTGAGCTGAATGGTGCGTTTCTCTCCGTGTTGGCTCTGGTAGGTGGTGCCTACCAGGTGGGTTCCAACCAAAGCCCTGCCTGCTCCTGCACCACCCTGCAACCAGGCTGTGTTTGAGCCCACAGTGCCAGTCCTGCTCATTGAGCATCACCCTCTCTGTCACCGATGTCCTTCTCCAGGGACTGGTCCCTCCTGATCACGTGTCCAAAATACGTCAGACCCAGGCCTGCCCTCCTTCCCTCTTGGCAGCATTCTGGCTGCCCTTCCTCCAAGTCAGATTTGGCCCTTCTCTGGCAGCCCCTGGCATAGTCACTGTTCTTTGCCAGCACCGCACATAATTCGGGGATGTCCAATCTCCTTGGCTTCCCTCTTTGTGGGTTGGCTTTCACATGTAGATGAGGATGGAAAGGACCACGCCTGGGGTCCAGCCCACCTTAGTGCTGGAAGTGATCCCTTTACCCTTTAGCAGAGGTTTCTCCCATTGTCGTTTCCCAATCCAGTGTCTGGCTGTTTTACTGCTGCCTCCATGGATGGAGACTGCTGGTCCAAGTGAAATGAAACCCGTCCACGGCTTTGAGCTCATCTCGCTTTCTCTCGGCGTTGCTCTTGAGTCCCATTGTGAGGACGTTTATTTTCTTGATGCCGGTGTGTAATCCATGCTGAAGACTGCCGTCTCCCTTTCTTCACTGTGTGCGGCAGGCCCTTTCAGGTTCAGCAGCATCTGCATGTTGTAGGTGTTAGCAAGGCCCTGCCCCTGCCCCTTCCACATGGTTTTCGGTGCTCTACGGAGTCGGAGAACCTTCTCCAGTGACGAGCGACAGAAATGCTCCCTGACCCGATAGCCTTAGCAAGTCCCTTAGGGTGACATGCTCTTCTTCCTGTAGTCCAGGGTGGTCATTTCCTCTGCGCACAGATAGAATGCCGACGGTGACAAGATTCAACCCTGATTCACACCTTTGCGGATTTTAAGCTATGCCCTACCCCACCCCTCCTTGTTAGGCTTTAATGACTGCCTCTTGGTCCTAGGACGTGTTCTGGGTGTCCCTTTCTTTGCCATGTTAGCCCTAATGTGTCACCTTCCACACAATCAAACGACGAATCAATGCCTTTGGATTATGGCGTTGGAAAAGAAGGTTTGATATACCATGAGCTGCCAGAAGACTGGACAAATTGGTCTTGGAAGTAGGAATGCTCCGTGGAAGCATGGAACGCCGGTCAGTAAAGTCAGTAAAACGTGGGTAAACATCTGTCTCGTGTTCTCTGTAGTCAACGAGGTTCCTGAGCAATGATGTCCCCAGTCTTGCATTCTCTTCTGCATCCTGCTTGGAGTTTTCTGTGTTCCTGCAGATGCCCTGCTACCACCAATTAAAAGTTTTTTTCAGTGTAATTTTACTCACGTGTGCTCTTCCTGATATTGCTCCAGAATTTCTGCATTCCCTTGAATTACCTGCGTCCCCTTGAATTACCCTTCCCGTCAGCTGGCCAGCGAGCCGTCTTGCATGTTTCTTGCGGAGATGGACTTGTGCTTCCTGTGTTGCATTCATTAGTTGAAACATCGCAGTCGGTGTGCTGTCAGTTCCTGGAGCCTTCTTGTCATCACTGCCTCTATTGCCGCGTGGCCTGTGTCCTTCGTACCATCAGTTCTTGGCCATAATCTTCCTCATGAATTGGTTGAAGGTTGACCAGTTCTTTTTGGCACCCAAACCAAGAATGCAACCCCCTTGCTGTTGAGTCGATCCGCCTGATAGCAAGCCTGGAGGACAGAATCCAGGCGCCCCGTGGGTTCCTAAGACTGTGACCTTTACAGACGCAGACTGCCCTCTCTTTCTCCAGGGTAGCAGCCGGCGATTTGGCGTCCCTGCCCAGCTGAGGGCTTAACCACTGCACCATTCAGGTTCCTTCTTCCTATATGAGCCTGTAGAGATTCCAGATACAATAAAACCAACAACAAGACACCCAGCTCTTCCCCAGAACCATGAGCAGAATAAAGCACCCCTGTGTTTCCCCCTGGGAGAAGGTCAGGAGGAACAAGGAGGGAGAAAGGCAAGCTGGCAGGCAGGCACTAAGGCGCCTCCGCTGGAAACAAACCCGAGTGACCACATCTCATTGCAGCCAGTTGTCTCATCAGTAGAGACATTTTTGTGCCCAAATAAGAAAATGACTGTTAGATGTTTTTGTGGGTAAGCTTTTGGCTACTCTCACTTTTATATCCGATCGAGATCCCTTCTTTTATGAAGCATTTCAGAGGTCAAATGAAAATCGGTGCACTGGGAAGGTGTGGAGATCCACTTCCAAAATTCAGCCCATGAAAACCCTGTGGGCCACACCAATCCAGTCCAGAGCCCATCGAGGGGATGCGGGCCGGGCACCATTCCATTCCATTGTTCCCAGAGCAGCCTGTGAGCAGTTAAAAACCCTTGTCTTAACTTTGCGATAACTGGCCACCCAACCAGTAGAACATCTATCCTGATGTGGCCTCCCCAAAGAGCCATTCTGCAGAAAACCATCTATCTGCCCAGTAGGCAAAAGGCTACTCTGTAAGTGAATATGGTCTGTCTCCCCACTGGCCTGGTGTGTTCTCTCCCCGCATCTGTCCTCCTGGCATGCTGGCCACGGCCTCTCTGTCTGCCCCTCCGTGATGTAGTTTCCGACACGGATTTTCAGAAGCCTTCGATAAAATATTTTAAACTTTACACATTGCCACCAAAGACAGCACGTTTCCAGTGTCACATACTTGTGGAGCACATATATCTTCGTCGACATGTCTAACACGAGCAAATAGAAGGGCTGTGTTTTTAGACTATGGGAAATGGGGATTTGTTATTGTTGTTGGTGGTGGTGGTAACACGGCCTTTTCTTTTCAACAGGCAGAAATCCTCAGTGTGCTCAGTCACAGGAACATCATCCAGTTCTATGGAGTCATTCTTGAGCCTCCCAACTATGGCATCGTCACAGGTAGGAGCTCTTGATTTGACTACGCACTTCCTCCAATTACCCAGCTCTAGGTTCCTTAATATGCTAAAATGCTTACTATTCGGTTCAGTTATGAATTGTGTGCTACTGTCAGATGTCACTTTTGTTGCCATAAAGCATTAATAAAACTGATTATATCAATATAATTAAGAATGGTGTACCCACTTCTACCCATGTTTAATTGTGCTAATTATATCTGCGCAAATGCTATTTAAATGCACTTGCAGCTGCAATACCAATATTTAAAGGTGCCATTTAACTAAAATTTCATTTAATTAGCTGAAATGAGCGATGCTTTTTGTAACTCTGTGACCTTTTGCAAATTAAGATTTCTTGAGCTATTCACATTGTAATTCTTTGCAAGACATTTTAGTCCCATTAGGGCATCCTTTCTTCAAGGTCTCGGACTTGAGGATCATATTTTTTAGGTTTGGCCATTGGAGATGGTAATGACCTTGATCTAAATTATCACATAATTTGGAGCAGCAACTTATAACTCTAGGAGAACTATCCTTCCCCAAAAGGAGCACATTGAGCATTTTGCCACAGAAAGACAGGTGCTTTACATACTCCGTGCTCGTACGTGGCACGGTCCAATGACAGTGTCGTTGGTCTGTAAGGTATCACCCTCAATTTTACAACGAATCCCTTTGATCAAGTTCTTTAGCATGCCTTATCTGTGTGTTGGGGGGGGGTTGGTTAAAACATAAAACCTTAGATGATTCATTAGTTCTATCTTCTTCTACTGTGGTGATAAAAGTTTGGAATACCTTTGTGGGAAATAATAAAATGCTTCCAATAAGAAGGATTGTATTAGGGACCTTTCTTAGTAGTCAAGAGCCCTGGTGGCATAGTGGCCTTCGACTTGGGCTGCTAACCACAAGGTCAGTAGTTCGAAACCACCAGCTTGACTTAGGTTCGTACATGAATTTCTGCATGAGAAAAATGGGTTTTGTTTCTCCTATTAAAGATTTACAGCCTCAGGACTGCACAGGGGCAGTTCTACTCTCGGGTCTCTGTAGGGTGGGATCGGCTCGAGGACAGTGAGTGCAGTGGGGTTTCTTAGATGTTATCTTATCGTCACTGTTAGATCAACTCACTCACTGCCATTGGGTCAATGCCGACGCTTAGCAGCCCCAAAGGTCAGGGTAGAACTGCTCCATGGGTTCCCAAGACTGTACCTCTTTACGGAAGTAGAAAGCCCATCTTCGGCCCTCAGAGTGGCTGGTGGCTTCGAACTGCAGACCTGGCAGTGAGCAGTCCACCTTGTAACCACCGTGCCACCAGAGTTCCTCACTCTATGAGATAGGTAAAATAAATTCTGTTTACAAATAAGAAACTGAAGCTTTAGACTTTTAGCTTTCCCAAGGTTACCCAGCTAGCGGGAGACTCACAGTAAATAGTATAAATTTCCCAGGTGGTTTTTAACAGAAACACCTCTTCTTGTATGCACACTTGGTCCTGGAAGGCTTTGAGCATCTTGGTTGTTCAGGTCAAAGAGACGCGATTGTTGTTTCCATCTTCTAGTTCTAGCCTGACCTGCTTCTGTTCTTCCTTGTGGCTGGGTACCGACAAGTAGATATTTGACCCGTGGCGACCCCGTGCGACAGTCCAATTGTCTGTCAGGTTCCTTGGGGTAGTCTTGCAGAAGTAGCTCCTCGATCTTTCTCCCATGGAGTCTCCCGTGGGGCTCCATCTCCCAGCATGCAGGTTAGTAGCCAAGCGCTTAATGGTGGGGCCACCAGCGCTGCTTTCCTCCTCTTCACACCCCGGATTCTTTTATCCCCAATTTGCTACCACCGTTTTCCTGCCTCCACTTAGCTACCTTTAGAACTGTCCCTAAAGTGAAAAATGCTGTCATGTTTATCTAGAGCCCCTAGAATAGCTTAGACGGTTAGCTGTGAGGCGCTCGGCGGGGCAGTAGCTGCACGCGTTGGGAAGTGCAACACCACCAGCCGCTCTGCGGGAGAAAGACTGGCCTTCCTACGAAACCCGCTGGGGGTTGCTGTGAGTCAGCCTTCACTCTAGGGCAGTGAGTTTGATTTTGGAAACCACACTTAACCTTTTGGGTCAGAGTTCTGATTGAACGCTTTCCTGTGACCACCCCCCACCCCACCCCACCCACCCCCTTCCTTTCCTAGCCCATTGCATCGACCCTTCGTCCGTGTTTGCTCTACAAAGCCCGTGTGTAGAGCGAGTCATCCTTATCCACCCGATGCAGGTGTCATGTTCTGAATAGATAAAAAACTCTCCTTTTTGTCTTAGACCGTGGGTTTGCATTTAGTTTTTTTTGAGAAGAAAATTCCAGCTTAGCTACCTCAGTGGGCTCTTTGTGACGTTGTTACTTTCCGGAGGATTGGGGATCAGGAAGAGGGAAAGGAGCGTGGCCATGGTGTGTATTGCTGTGTCAAGAGCTGGCGCTCAGTTCCAGGGAGAAGGGAAGCACATTGGTTCGTGGCCAGCTCCTGGTCATCCCGGAGCTTCCCCACCAAAAGAGGGAGAAGGACTCCTAGCCGTTTGGTGAATGCGTGTGATTTTATTATTTATATTTGGCCTTTATTCCATGCCTCCCTCTAGCATTCCCTGCTCTTGCGTAGCCTGCCCCAAATCTCTAGTTATAATTGTTTAGTTGTGCTTCGGGTCTCTATGCCTTTCCCTGTAGATACAGTCAACAGGCAGCTGTTAACATTGGACATTTCTTTAGAACAGCACATTTCAGAGCCGTGAGGTAATTGTGTATTCATAACTCTTTGATCAGCCCAGAAGGTCAAATAGTAAAGAGAACCTTTTAGTAAACTTTTTTGTGTTTTACTTTTAAAATGTATTGATTTTATATGGCTACCTTTGTTCCCAGCAATGCGGCTTTTAGGAAGCAAATGTGTGTTCATCAGCATCTACCAGAGAAACATGTGTTCCTTTTCGAGCAACCTCCTGTAGCATAAGCATTAAGCATGCTCCCTGCGTGGGTAGCAGTGCATGTACCATCAGAGGTGAGCTGGGCAGGAAAAAGGTCAGGTGGAGAGTGCAGGATGCAGTTTAACTTGTCTCTTGAAGTGTACACACCATGCCAGTTGCCTTCGTGTCTATTTCTATAGGACAGAGTAGAACTGTCCCATGGGTTTCCAAGACTGCAATGTGGTCAAAACCACACGGCCACATCTTTCTCCCATGGAATCTGGTCTGTTTGAACTGCTGACCTTTCAGCTAACCACTGTGTCACCACGTCCTCCTTTGAAGTGAAAACAATTATGGATTAGTGTGGGGGAAGAAAAAGAGAGACCCTTAGCCTATCTAGTGGACCCTCACGAGATCCTCAGTCTTTCTCAGCTGCTGGGGCTTCTGAGGCAAAGAGGAAAAGGATAGAAATCCAAAAACACAACTAAACAATTATAACCAAAGATTTGGGGGTAAGATACGTAAGAACAGGGAATGCTAGAGGGTAATGTGGAATTAAGGATGGGCTGGCCGAATATAAATATTGAATTGAATGGCTTGAACTTTTTCAAAGAAAAAATGGTTGCAGCCTGCAGCTGTGGCCACTCATTGCAGGGTCTTGGCACAATGGTGTACTGGAATGATGAAAGGAATGGGCCTCGGGAGATGGGAGAGAGGAGATCATTTTGAACTTCTGTCCCGCACTGAATTGTGTCTCCCAAAATATGTGTCACTTTGGCTGGGTCATGATTCTCAGTGGTTTAACAGTTGTGTATTGATGCTATGTAGCAGTTGTGTAATGATTCCATTGATGCAATCAACCAATAAGAGGATTAAGGGTGGGGTGGAACACCCTTCGTCCTATCACAGCCTTGAGCTCATATAAGGGGAGTTCCCTGGGGTGGGACCTGCAACCTTTGATGTTAACAACAGATACAAGTTGCCAGACTTGAGCTCAGGAGAGAGGCCTTCTACCTCCAAGAATGAAGAACTGAGAGTGGAGTAGTGTATCCTTTGGACCTGGAGTCCCTGTTCTGAGCAACTCTTAGGCCCAGGGGAAGATTGCTGTCAAGACACATGGAGATCTCCACGGACCGCCAGACTCACAGATGCTGAAAGGAAACAAGAACCTTTACTCGGAGTCAACAGCTAGAGAACGCCTTCTCCCAGACCCAGCCCTCTGAATTCGGGCTTCAAGCCTCCTTATCTGGGAGAAACTAAAATACCCCCAACCCACTCACTGCCACCGATCGATTCTGATTCATAACTCAAAGTTTACGGCCATCTCGGGGACCTTATGGGACAGGGTAGCGCTGCCTCTGCGTTGCTGAGGCTGATCCCTTCATGAGAGGAGAAAGCCTTGTCTTCCCCCCATGGAGCGGCTGGAGGTTTCAAACTGTGGGCCTGTGGTTACCAGCCTAGACAACCTTGCATGGCTCCCTAGTGTTTCCAAGACTGTACGTCTTAATGGGGACAGAAGCCATTGTCTTTCTCCTGTGGTAGGGTTACACTGCTGACTTGGTAACCAGCCATGCTGCCAGCACCCAGTCTATGACAGCAGCACTAGATAACGAAGACAGAGTCATAGAGGGGTGACCGATGATTCCTCTGTGGACCGGTCTTGGGTCTTCTTCCTCTGTGAATGACGGGACCAGACTCCAAGACCTCTAGGGGAGAGAGCGTGTGCACGCGTGCATTGGTGTTTGGTGAGGTGCGTCATCACAGGCTTATAAAACCTGCTCATCGGGGGACCTGGGGCAGAGTCCAAGAGGAGGCTGCCATTGTGTTTTCCTAGGAAGGGAAATAAAGATCTTGTCCCTGGATCCACCAAGAAACGGAGTGACAGCAACCTTAGGTTCCAAACCAAAAGAAAAGATATAATAATTAGGTGCTACCTTTTTTTCTGTACAACTATACTTCCTTCATTCCTTCCCTGTAAAAAGATAAGGTACTACTTGAGAGCCTTTCAAGGCGTGGCGTGAGATAACCCTGGGTTGGGGCAAATAGGAAGGAGTTGTCAGATATTAGATCATGTAGCTCTTTGGTAC